ATATATATACACACACACACACACACACATATATATATATACATATATATATACATACACACATACATACACACACACATATATATATATACATATATATATACATACACACATACATACACACACACATATATATATATACATACATACATACATATACACACACACACACACACATATATATATATGGCACAATTCAAACATGATCAACTAATTATTTGGTGCCAGTCATTGACTACTGTACATATTTTATCAGAAATAAGGTCCCATGGTGGTCCACCAGAAGGGACGGGACTTTGCCTTTCTATTGCTGATTTCTTACCTATAAGGCCATAGGAAAGGAACTTGTTGACAGAAGTGAGGGCGAGCCCTGTGATTGGTCCAGTGGTGTCCTCGGAGCGGACCACTTCTAGGAAGGGCCTCAGAAAAACGTTTGGCTCAACATCAGAAAGCTCTGTGGCAAGAGAAAGACACACACAACACACACAATATGAGATCTCTGAAATCTGTTGTGATATACATACATGTGCGTATCTACCAATTACCAACAATAATTCAAATCATATATACAATAAGCCTGATACATTCATGGGATGGCGAGTCAGAGGTGTCTGTAACAACAGCATGACGTTTATCGACAGCAGCAAAGTAGATAATTGACTTTAGAAGAAGAAGAGAGCTTTGGTGACATGGACCAAAGCAAGTGACAATGATGGAAGTGCTTGCGCTGCTGCATTTGTTGTTTTTCATGAGCGCTGTAGCTTTTACTGTGCTCACAAAGTAATCGTTGTGTTACTTTTAATCACAACAAGACTTTTTCTCACTTCAAGACAATACGTTTATGAAGCATTTTCGAGGTAGATGAGAAGATAAATAAACGTGCATTTTTACAGCAACTTACTCGTTGAGTGATCACTCAAAGCACTGTACACAACATGTCAATATTCACCCATTCACACACACACACACACAGGCTGATGGCACCATTGCCCATTCACACACACACAGACTGATGGCACCATTGCCCATTCACACACACACAGACTGATGGCACCATTGCCCATTCTCACACATACAGACTGATGGCACCATTGCCCATTCTCACACACAGACTGATGGCACCATTGCCCATTCTCTCTCACACACTCTCTCACACACACACACACACACACACACACACACACACACACACACACACACACACACACACACACACACACACACGGCAGCAGTCTGGAGTTCAGCATCTGGCTGTAGGACACTTGGACATGCGGCCAGTGTGGCAGAAGGAAATGCGGACTGGAGGAGCCGAGGTCAACTCGCTGATTTATTGAAGTTCCTTTTCAAACATGACTGACTGTCAAACTAGAAAATAAATGAAAGTTCTATGGCCTTCACTGTCTGTCTGTATGCATTTGTTCATGTTTTACAAAGGGTTTAACCTGATCCAGGCCATACAGTAATGACTGCAATCATCTCACATCCTTACAGGGTGAGTAGCATATAGCTGTTAATAATAATATATTTTTGCTTTTTAGACACACCGTTATCGGCCGATACATAGGTATTGCTCCAAAAAGTATTACAATTCGCCAATCTGCCAGTGTTATCCACTGTTGTCATGGTAACCTACCTAACTGCTGCTGACTTGTCCTCGAGCAGCAATGTGAGATTTCAGAGTATGATATTTTCCTCTTAATGACTTGCTATAACATTTGATTCAGACATTCATGCTCAACATTGGTGATTCGTGACTTTTCATCCTGCCTATTCCTCAGGTCAAAGGTTGAATGTCCAAATACTTTAGTTAATGAGCAAATAACTGCAAAATGAATGACATTCCCATCAGCCTAAACTAGACTTCTGTCAGTGCTAGTAGAGCAAATTCATGCTAACACACTAAACTAAATGGTAAGCATGTTAACATTACCATGTCATTGAGAGGATGTTAGCATGCTCACGTTAACTCAAGCTTAGTTTATACTCGCCGTAGTGAAGCCGGCGTGCGCAATCACATGACAAATAGTTAACTGATAAAAACACTGGTTTTTATTTCTAAGGATTATACAAAGAAGACCAATTTGTTGTGACATGCTTTAGAAACAGGAGGTCTTCAAAATCTATGTTTGAGTAAATATTTTGCAGCTAAATCAAATTGTTTACAGGATATTCAACCTTTATAACGAATTTAATAATTAACTTGTTTCTTTACAGGGCTTGTAATAAGGCAATAAAGTAGCCCATGAATATGAGATATGAGTTTACAGATAATCACAATCCCTCTTCAATATAATGACCCATTAGATAATTGGCCCGGCAAAATGTAATCTCTCAGAAGCAAACCATAATCATCAACATTAGTGTCTACAAGCTGACCAACAGAATAATAGGATCCAACAGATCAGTTCCCAGAGGAGCTTCGCAGGGCATTCCTCTCTGGGAAACCACCACTTCAATAGTCCCTCTCTTTCTCTGGAGAATTCAGAGCAAAAGGGGGTCAAGAGGGGGGGGGGGGGGGAAAAATACAAAACAGGTAAAACAACAACGGGGAAAATTAGTGGAGTCACGCATGGCGCTGTGAAATGTTGAGCCCGGAGTGCTCGCCGCAGCAATACCGTGAGGATTATGGCTTTCTTAAGAGCAGCTCCACTCCAGACAAGGAAAAACAACTTGGACTTCAAACGCGAGTGTCCAACCATTTTCCAAAAAGTGCACATGTGACCGTCGTGCATTAGCGTGTGGTTTCCAATACCCCTGCAGCTTGTTTAGAAATCAAATATGGAATAATTTGGAAATTTACAGTCTTTTTATCTGCCGCCAGGTCACTTTCAGGCCTCGCTTTCAAAAGCAAATCTATTCCTTGCTGCTATATTGCATATTTTCCCTTATGGTGTTTAAGTTAGTTGTTGTTAAATTGGAGAGCTTTTTTTCTGAGTGTAAATTTAGCAACAACTGCACAAAAACAAACACGTGTTCCCCTGCAACATAAAATAGAAACATAGACTTATGAATGAAGCACAATACATATCAGTGATAACTTCTGAGGGAGTGAGACGGTGTTGTTTGACCCGTCCATCAGCTGCCAGAAAACTTTTTAAAGAGGCTTTTTGTGTGCCATTACTTTACAGTGTGGTGGGGGGTGGGGGGGGGGGATGCTCAAATGAATCTGTCAATAGATCCTGATGAAGACTTCATCAGAGGCGATCACCCTGTAAGTGCTACGGCTGCGTTCCCAAAGACCACAGATTGGAAAACTCAATTGTGTTGTATTGATCCAGCCGGCCATCGGTGAACAGGAGCGGTCTGTCGGTGGCCACCACCAATCTTCTTAAATAAAGTCTAAATACAGGCTCAGTACTGCGACTCAATCTCCGGAGCTTGTGGAGTGGAGTGAAATAAATAACGCCAGCTGCAGGCGTGGTGAGGCAATCATTCTATAACCAGGTTAACCTCTGGCTGACATTGACCAGAATAAAAACTGAGAAAGAAAAAAAAGGCAGGATTAAACGGGCTCAACCAGGCGTGCATGTTGCCATCTAAGGGCCGAGTCTGCTGGGTACAAGTCCTCATATAAGAGTGCATACAAGTCCAACTCCAGGTCAGCTTAATTGGTAAAAAAAAAAAAAAAGGGGAAAAAAGAGGTTTGTGAAATAAGCGCATTACGATTCACCATGAACCTAATCCTATGTACCTTCACCATGCTTCTCCATCTCTGTGTTAGAGCTGTAGTGACAGTATCCAGCCATGTGTGGATTACCTCTCCAAATGACCCCAGCAACAAGAGAGAGGAGAGGCGGGGGTGGACCTTTGCCCCAGGAGAGCACCATCTTTAACACATGCACATCTATTGGCACTGGAGCAGAAAAGGCTTAGAACACAGGGAGCACCAGCAGGAGATGAATCTGAGCTGCAGATGCTCCGTATTGTCCAGACAACAAGAGGAGTAACAATGAAACACAAACAATACCTGCAGCCAACCAGCATCTCAAATGGAAACATACAAACATTTCAATGTGAGGGCCACAAAGATCTTTGCAGGGCTTTTTAAGAGTCCAGGGTTGTACAAACACAGTGTGGAGGAGCAGAGCACTAGAAACCGAAGCAGAGGAAGATTGCATCTACGGCTCTGGCATCGCAATGAAGAAGCTTCCTCGTCTTACGAAAGCAAGTTAAACAAAGAACACGCTGAATGTTGTCCAAATAGTATGAGAATGTTGCAAAGCTTATATGACTTTGCATATGCTAGTAATATTCAGGCTGGGCCAAATGATTTCTATGCACCTGTGAGCTGACGCCCAGGTAGCAAAATACTTTTTAATCTTTACCCTCCTAGCTCTGTAATAATGTGGTCACAGGTGTGCACCTTAATCAGACTGCCATTCAAAAGTATTGATATAGTTTTGAGTTTTGTTAAGTTTATTACTATACAAAGTGATGGTGATAAATGTTATTAATTTAAATGGTTGAACTTAAACTGTGCCCTTAAGACACTAATAATATGAGTTATGTGGTCTGAATTTACTGTGCACTTTCAAGCTGGAGCTACAGACAAAGACAAAGAAACAGCAAAACGCAAGAGACTGTTGAAATAAAAGGAGCGCACATTCATTAGAAAAATGACATAAACAGTGTCAAAACAGTGCGTTTTGCCGTCATTTGTGGTGGGAGCATTGTGTGTGAGTGGGGGAGAGTCGGAGCGCTGACGGCCGCTGCACTCGTTGCGTTGGTGTGCATGAAAGCTTTGCGAGGACAAACACATGTGCGACTGATGAAACACAAAGGAAGGTCGGGTTGTAAAACGGCGCTGTAGGGTTTTAGACTACTAAACAGAAAGACGTGCGATAGCGATTGTGACATAGCCGGACGTGTATAAAGTCGATGCATCTATACGTGCAGACAGCAGCAGAAGAAATGTGTGGAGAAAGCACTGCAGCAGACACCTCTGTGCTCTCAAGCTTTCAGTGAAAATGGACAGAACTAGATGACACCTTCTATGAAAGGTGTACCAGAGGCAGAAAGAGGGGAGCAGCAGATGAGGGAGGGGTGAACCCCCCTTTGACCGACGCAGCGGCCCAAAACCAAACACTGATGGTTATTGATCTGGACCTCTTCAGCTGCTAAAATTAAGAGTTAGGGTCCTTTGTTGCGATGCTGAGGAGAAAGGCAACACTCTAACAAGAGCAGCAAGGCTAAATGAAATCCAGGGAGAATCTTTCTGTTCATCTGCCGAACAAAGTCCTGCACGACAGTATTCTGATCCATCTGTCGGGAGGAGTTTGATGAATGTCGGCTTTCCTTGGCCCTCGGCCCCCACCCTCCTTTCATTCAGTCTTCTCCCCTACCCTCGGCCCCTATATTCCACTGAATGAAATTGACACTTGTGGATGGGGCAATTAGGATGAAACAATGCTATGGCGCTCCATACGGTCATTTCATTGGGCCACAGTGGTATTT